GATTTTCAACAACATTAGCCTGCAATAACTCAGCAAATTAGTTGGAAGCCAGTCATTGTCCCTTGTTCCCCTTGGCTAAAATCGGACTCTTATACGAGTGCATTGGATTGTCTTAAGTGCTGTAAATTCACATCAAATAATTACAGCCTGTTTCTGCTCGTTCCCTGTCTGCCTCATAATCTTGTGGGATAGATAAACTATGGCCATATTCGTTAGGATAAACTACAGATGTCTCCCCTTAAATGAGTCCTTTTACATGGACCTGTTTTCTAGAGGTGTGGACAGACATTTTATATTTGGTATGTAAAGTCAGCTATATCAAATCGTCGTCTGACCGAATATTTTATAATTGTCAATTCTAATGCTATGTTCGTTAGGCTATTAGAACAATATCAATGCTTGTGTCCTGACTGTCTTCTAACGCTACAATATTCAATCTTTCTGGCTATTGTCATGCCTGGGGGCACTTACTGCCTCTAGCCTCTCTGCCTCATTCCAGCAAAGACGCTTCCTCTGATCGTATTTGCTAGGAATTCCTCCTCTTTTCTGCAACATTGCAAGCTCCTGTTAAACTTCCATTTTTTGTATTAAAATAGACATTATAATGTTACACATATATTTTCAATATTAACATATAATTGCATAGCAAAATGAATTTGTGATTCCACCCAGACATTATTCAGGATGGTGTGAGTGCCATCCAAACATATCCTTTCATGGGAGAGAGAGAGAGAGAGAGAGAGAGAGAGAGAGAGAGAGAGAGGAGAGGATGAGGAGAGAGAGATGAGAGAGAGAGAGAGAGAGAGAGAAGGATACTTGATGCTGGAAAGACTTCTGTCCCAAAACTGGAGGTTACCCGTTTCCTTTAGGAGAGGATGACCACTACTGTTTACGCTTCCCGTCAATATTCCAGGTTACCTTGAGTTTACTTGGAGATGGTTTCGGGGTGAACGTCCCCGCGGCCCGGTCTGAGACCAGGCCTCAATCATCTCTTAACTTCACAGCGTTAGTTTAGTGCAGTAGGAGAGGCCAAAAATTAGAAGATTTGGTTATGTTGTTTGATTTTCAGTTAGATGAATTAGGGAAGATCATAAGAAAACCCGACCGATAAAGCTTTTAAATCACGTTGAGAGGTACAGCCATCGCCCGCACTCTCCGAGGATTGTCTGATAAAGGGAGGTTCTCACAATAATTTTTTTGCCACTTCTCTGAGGTAAATGTACGAGTTGATTCCACAAGGCTCCTCCGAGTGTAAAAGATGGGAGCACATTCTGAGACAGTTGATGAAGTAGCTCAAGATTACAGGTCTATGTACAAGACACACATGTGTTAGACAAAGAATAACTGAAGGAACTAGAAGTGGACTGGGTCTTAAAACCCGCCAGGGCATCTATCAAGTCGGCTCATTAAAACACACTGCCTGTGTACCACGAGCCGCAGATAAAGTAAGAAGCCTCCGAAGTCTTATCATTCATTTCCGCTACCAAACACACACGTAATATGCAGAAAACAAATGTTCCTTGTTGTTTCATTTCTGGGAAACTTGTTTGGTTGATATTTTGCTCGGGAAAGAAAGTAGACACTCAAGAGTCAGGACAAATATACAGCATTAAGGAAGCTTACGGCAGTGCTGTGACACTACGTCAACAAGATATGGTCATGGAAAGATATACTTAATGAGACAACTAAAGAAGTCCTCAGATGTACAAGTTTTGTCAGCTACCATCAACATGCAAGACAAGAGTGGAGGTTGGTGATGCTGGAATACATTTTTTTGAATTACTTTATAAAGGAAGTAGGAAGTTTGGACCATTCCATTGTTCCAGTCTCCCAAACTCAGAGCTATTTCGCTAGTATTCTTTCTATTCTGTCGATTGAGTACAAGAAACCGCCCATTTACCTATTTAAACTGCCCAATAAAGTGGTCAGAAATCGGTAATTTCAAGAGATGCCAATTTCAAAATAGTGTCCAAAATACTCTGAGAGATGCCAGATATAAGTAAAAATTATGGTCCAGAGTAACAGGATGGAACTACATGGGTTACCACTTATTGATCATGCAGCCCACTTTCTCAGCTTATGTGTCGACATCCTGGTTGTGAGATGGCAAGATCTGCATTGACAGCATAGAAAGCCGTGTGTAGGATTGAAAGGAGGCCAATGGATCCTTTCAATCCATCGTCACTGATAAATATACAGCACCATCAAAGGTCCTAAAATGTATACATTGTAAATGCAGACAAACAGGAAAGAATCCAAATGGCACAAATCACTGTTCTTGTCAAAAAAAAAAGTAATTTAAAATGTGCAATTGCGTGTGCATAATGTCGAGTGAATCATCACTGATCCTGTTAAGGTCATTGATGACAGAACTGATGTTCTGGGGACATAAAAATGTGGATAAAAGCAATATCTTGCCCTTAATTCATTTGACCGAAAATAAGACAAACAACCTTGAAAGGACCTTCATTTAAATTCCTTTAATAATTTTCCCCAAAGTGAATTGATGATGATTTTAGAAATGCGATTTAAAACATAATTTTATATCAAATGGCACCAAAATAATTTCTATTGGATTTTTAAGAGTTCATCTATTTTCTTTCTAGACTTCTTATCACGTATACTATACTATTTTGCTATTACCTAACTCACTACTTAAACGGATTTTAGTTACTCTCTTCAGGATATTTATAACGCCTTTTGACCACTCTTCTGTATAATAATAATAATAATAATAATATGATGATGATGATGATGATGATGATGATGATGATGATGATGATGATGATGATGATGATGATGATGATGATGATGATGATGATGATGATGATGATAATAATGATATAATAATAATAATAATAATAATAATAATAATAATAATAATAATAATAATAATAATAATAATATCTTTATTTACTACATGACATATACATGTACAAGCTATGCTGTGGATTTTTGTGCGAACTGTCTCATAGCGTGCAATAAGTTTAACTAAAACTGTTGACAGACATCCCGAGATATTAACTCAGGCACGCCAGTGGTTCATGCAACAAAATTCCACACTACTGAGATGTTATGTAATACCTAACTGTACAAGGCAAGTTAACTTACTTGAAGGGAAGGCTACACTTACATACTCTCGTACCTCAGTAATTACGGGTTTCTGTACATCCACCAAAATCTCCCAGCAAATGTTCTCACCATATTTCAGCAGAAAAATTGACCAATAATGCTGAAAGAAATGTAATCAGTTCGTTGGGGTTTGTCTGGATACTAGTAGGTATCCTCGGTGTTTGAGGAAGCTTCGTTGTTCTAGTAGTGCTACCCAAGTAAGTTAGGCAGGTTTCCTGGCTGTTTACGCGTCACTCCTACTCGCGATGGAATCCGAACTTCAACTGCTCTAGCTGGCGTCTTCTGACTTCATTCGAATTTAAAACTGTCAGTTCTCTAACTAATTCTACTATAGCAAACCTAATCTTATTTTAGGTCCTAAAACTGTGTTAATAATTCCTAAGTTTATTTTCTACTTTGTGTAACTACGTAAATCTTCCTAGAAATACAAATATTATGTACAAATGCTATGTAAGTGGGTATATTAAGGGCTTGTGAAGCTTAAACTATAAAACGTTTCGTGGAATATTTTGGTAGCCCAAAATAATTTCCACATATACAGTCCTAGCTGACATCAATGACATACTACTATATAGAAAGCCGCTTATTCTGAACATTTCCCGCAAATTAGGTCAGTTTTGTCCCAGGATGCGACCCACACTACTCCACTAGCACCCAGGTACCCATTATTACTGATGAGTGAACATAGACAATAGGTGTAAGGAAACATGGCCAATTTATCCACCTCTTCGCCGGGAATCGAACCCGGACCCTCACCGTGTGAAGCGAGAGCTTTTGCCACCAGGCCACGGGGCACCTAAAGTGTTAATCCCTCGTTAATCCGGTCATAAAAACGAAACATTATGTGCACTTTCAATGCTCAGAACTTCAGCATTCATTACTATAATGTATAGCCCTTTCTTTACTCTAATAATAAAATACAGTGGTCCCTCGTTTTTCGTAATTACTCCGTTCCTAGAGGAGCTACCATAAACGAAATTTACGATTTGTGAATCAATTTTTCCCATAAGAAATAATGTAAATACAATTAATCCGTTTCTGACACTCAGAAGTATTAAAACAAAAAAAAATTTTACATGAAATATACATGTAGTACATAAACAATACAATGGGAAATGATGAATGAAACATTAACAGCATAACACTTACCTTTATTAGATATTCTTCTTAGTGTATGGGAGACTGGAGGAGGAGAGAGATTGGATTGTTTACAGTTTGGAAGGGGAATCCCCTTCCAGCAACACCTCGGGTACCAATTGCTTCTCTGGGGTTGCTTCTCTTCTCTGTTTCTTAATGCCACTAGGACCACCTTGAGAGTCACTCTAGTCCTCTCTTGCAAAGTAACTGTGGAGAGAGCTCTGTTTCTGGCATCTCTTTAACACTTCCCTAAAATGGTACAAGACTTTGTCACTACATATTTCTCACCTTCTTTATCACTAGGAGCTTTCTTTGGAGCCATGGTAGCTTATTTAGTACTTGCAAGCACTAAAATGAGTGGAATATTATGAAATATTTCATAGGAGCACTTGAGGGGACCTTCACTCACTGGTAAACAATGCCAGACTGGCTGGGTAGGGAGGCCTCCCTGGCTCACACCGTGCGTAAGCGTCCTGGACGAACTACTATTCGTGAGTCAACCTATGAAAAGCGAGTCCATGTATATATGAAAATACCCCTATGATTGGCGAAATTTTCGATTGCCGAGAACTACGAAAAGCGAGGGACCACTGTAATTTTAACGATGAACGTTCTGCAGCTTCTTTCCTCTTAACTCAAACAAAATGAATTTGTAGGTTAAAAAAGTCTGGAAAATATTTAATAAAAAAACTTTGATGTGCTTTTAATAAACAAAACCTTTTTAAACATACATTTTGATTTCTGCTTCAACTGATCAGAGAACTTGAGAGCGAGACGCTTGATGTGGAAGGCCTTAAGACCATATTTCTGAGGCCATTCAAGAACTACTCCAACCAGCTTCACCAGTCGAACCATGTCTCGAATGTCAACTGAAATGCAAGATTTATGCGTCTTTAATAAACTCATATTCATTGGATCACTGAGAAACGTCAAACAGTTGACAAATGAGCAGAGGATCTTTGGTACATAATGGTTTAATAGACGAAGATGAAATAAATTATTGGACTGAGGAGTTCAAACAGAAAATATAAATGTTTTAAAGAAAGAAATATCGTTTTGGGAAAAAAGACATGAAGTGAAATCTATATATTAATGAAAGTGAAGATTAGAAATAGGGAGATGTATATGTACCTACTGTATATACATTCAGAGGAATAGAGGAAGAAAGTGCAAGGAGACTATTGTGTTTATTTCACGTGTTTATAGGTTTCACCTGGTCTTTAGTCGAGACTCTAGCTGCCAAGGTTATCACTGCAGATTATATGGACTTCGGTAACCTAGTGATTTTATCTACGAACTTACAAACAGTAACGAAGAGAAATGTCAATTTGATAGTCTTCTAAGAAATTGGCCGCTTATTGAGGAATATAGAGATAGACATTATAATAACCTATGTGACATGTCAAGATATCTTATTAATGAAAATAAGATACTAGATATACTAAATTTGCTTGTAACAAATACGTGAACTGTAGATATGTAAATATAAATCCAAATGTACACCTGTTAACCCTTTCGGGGCCTAGTTCCTAGGCCTTTTATGTATCCATATGCTCTTACGCTACCGTCCACAGGATGGATGTGGGGCGCGCAATAAACTAGCCACTTCGGTGGCAAAATCTAAAAAAAATCTAAGAAATGTGCAAGTTGCTCAGAGCACATATATTCCCCACAGAGAAATTAAATCAAATAAAAATGATCCCAAATGGATGCAGAAGAGATTGAAAAGTCTCATGGGAAAGAATAGAGGAATTTTCATGAACATCAAACGAGGATATGATCACTCTAAAAATCAGTATATTCAAATTAAAAACAAAAGGTATAAGAAAAGTTAAACGAGACTATGAGTCTAAAATTGCAATCTAATCCAAGGCAAATCTGAAAAGATTCTTTCAAGTGCCCATGGCAGATTGTGGGGGGAGGGGAAGTTTGTTATCATTTTAATAATTATTTCATTTCGGTCCTCACACAAGACAAACTATATTTCAAAATTACTGATTTTAAAGAGCCTGTAGAAAAGTAATCACAACACTTGGGACATGGTTATTAAACAAGAGAACCGATTAAAGGAAAACAAGTCCCCAAAACCCGTTGATCTGTTCTCTCAAGGATACTTAAGAGTGCACGATTGAATTTAGTGAGGCGCTAACTTACCTCTTCAATATATGACTACAAACGGGTGTCGTGCAGGAGATGCGGAAGATGGATAATGTAATTCCTATTTCCAAGTCATGAGATAAGTCTATACTATCGTCCAATAAGTCTGACCTCAGGAGTAGGCAAATTGGGCGTAAGTAGTATACAATACCGACAAGTTGCAAAATACACGAAAGCAAAATGGGCACTTTATTAAGACATTGGTATGCTTGATGACCAAGCTTTTTCAGGGGTCTGGAACGATATCGTTCCAGACCATGGAGCTGAACTCTTCTCCAGGCTGAGGGAATGGCCACCTCAAATCTTTTTTCTCCAAGGTTGATGGACTAATTACATCATCTTTATTTCACTACTACACCTGCTTCCTCTGTATTTGACTGAAGAAACCTAATGTGTAGGCGAAACGTTCCATCAATAAAGATTCCCAACTGTTACACATGACTTAATCTCCAACTTATCGGTATTTTGTACCATTTTCAACAGGATTTGCTTTGCTGAATACTCCTTTATCTCTGTGTCTGTGTGATGTGTTTATGGCGAAGATAAAAGTTAACATTTACATAATTTGGTCTTACCATATTCTTCTGATGGAGGCTGAAACGAAGTCTAATACACATCTCATGTGTTGAAACCCTCATACGTGCTTATTAATACATAAAAAGAAAACTGAGTGAAGCCTAAACAGCAGCGTAAGTAATAAAGATGACCAGCTGTTTGAATTAATATCAAGAATTATACAAACAGGAATCCAAAGGTTAATACATCATTAGTATTACCTAACTTAGAATGTTGAGGTTATTTAAGCAAGAGGGTGCTTGTAACAGTGGGTTCAAGTTGGATACATTTAAACTTAGAAAGGCTATAAGAAATGTTTAATTGGCTTTAAAAGTAAGTTGAACACATTTACGAGCGAAAAGTGTTTGTTTAAAGAAGAACCTGCATAGTATAGGCAAACAGAACTACAGTAATGATCTTCTCTATTTATGATCTTAAAGTTAACTGAAAATCACAGTTCCTCAAATTGGTGATCTAGTCTTGTCTATCTCCTGGAGTAATTAACATATACATGATTTTCCTAATGTATTAAAAAAATATTGCAAACACAAGAACTCACTGTTTTTCTTTAAAAAATCTTTCTCCAGCATGGAAAAAGCAATGTTGCAGAGACGATGTTTATTTTCAAAGTTTCCTGGTGCTGCAGGAGAGAAGAAATAAATGGGAGTACCATTACTTTCCAGTGTAGTGACGTAGTCTTGTAGTTGCCTCGGCAGCTGATGTAAAGGAACCAGATATGGACCCCAACTTTTAACTGAAATTATTTTCGTTATAAATTGCTAGAAAAACACAATCTTCAAAGTCTTTTTGATATCCAAATACAAATTTAAAATAGCAGCTTCTAATCGGCATTACATGTATATGCACAAATAACCTGCACATAGGAGAGAGAAGTGTATATATATATATATATAATATATATATATATATATATATATATATATATATATATATATATATATATATATATATATATATATATATATACAAGATATGATGTAGGGCGAAATGACAGTAGTTTGTTGGATTATGTATTGGTAGATAAAAGACTGTTGAGTAGACTTCAGGATGTACATGTTTATAGAGGGGCCACAGATATATCAGATCACTTTCTAGTTGTAGCTACACTGAGAGTAAAATGTAGATGGGATACAAGGAGAATAGAAGCATCAGGGAAGAGAGAGATGAAGGTTAATAAACTAAAAGAGGTAAGATATAAACAGCTATTGGAGGATAGATGGGCTAATGAGAGCATAGGCAATGGGGTCGAAGAGGTATGGGGTAGGTTTAAAAATGTAGTGTTAGAGAGTTCAGCAGAAGTTTGTGGTTACAGGAAAGTGGGTGCGGGAGGGAAGAGGAGCGATTGGTGGAATGATGATGTAAAGAGAGCAGTAAGGGAGAAAAAGTTAGCATATGAGAAGTTTTTACAAAGTAGAAGTGATACAAGGAGGGAAGAGTATATGGAGAAAAAGAGAGAGGTTAAGAGAGTGGTGAAGCAATGTAAAAAGAGAGCAAATGAGAGAGTGAGATGTTATCAACAAATTTTGTTGAAAATAAGAAAAAGTTTTGGAGTGAGATTAACATGTTAAGGAAGCCTAGAGAACAAATGGATTTGTCAGTTAAAAATAGAAGAGAAGAGTTATTAAATGGAGAGTTTGAGGTATTGGGAAGATGGAGGGAATATTTTGAGGAATTATTAAATTTATTTATTTATTTATTTAGTAATTTTAGCATACATACAGAGGAACAAAAAAATACAGGTAAGAGCAGCATGCCAAAGCCACTTATATGCATAGCATTACGGGCTGGCTTAAAATTAACTTAAGATTAACTAAGCGATGATGAAATCAGTGATAAAACATTATTGTAAACAGATAACTATAAAGCACAAATGAGTATTACAAAGACAGGTCATATGATTGCATGCATTGTTGTACATTCAGTCGAATGGAGTATTCTGTTAGGTAGTGTATTTAAAAAAAATAACAAAGTTGGATTGGGTCCTAGGTTTAACATTTGTGTGATATAATTGTGAGTAACATATAGGATATACAATTTATAAGGTTCAGTTATTCAGTATTTATTTGGTTTTGAGTGAGTAAGTGATCTTTGAGAAGAGACTTGAATTTATAAACAGGTAGTGTTTCTTTTATATTTACAGGTAATGAATTCCAGATTTTAGGGCCTTTTATATGCATTGAGTTTTTGCATAGCGTGAGATGGACACGAGGAACATCAAAGAGTGATCTGTGCCTTGTGTTATGGTCATGTGTCCTGTTGAGGTTGGCAAGGAGATGTTTAAGGGGAGGGTTAATATCAGAGTTAAGTGTTCTATGTATGTAATAGGTGCAGTAATAAGTATGGATGTTTTGTATGGTGAGTAGGTTGAGTGTTTTGAATATTGGTGGAGTGTGCTGCCTGTAGTGAGAATTTGTTATCATTCTAACTGCAGCCTTTTGTTGGGTAATTAGTGGTCTGAGATGGTTAATTGTTGTTGAGCCCCATGCACAAATTCCATAGGTGAGATAGGGGTAAATAAGAGAGTGATAAAGGGCCAGGAGGGCTGACTGTGGAACATAGTACCGTATCTTCGATAGTATGCCTACAGTCTTGGAAATTTTCTTAGAAATTTGTTGTATATGTGTATGAAATTTGAGTCTATTATCGAGGTGGATTCCTAAGAATTTTTCCCTCTGTTAGCTTTGTGATAGGTGATCTGTTTATCGTTATGTTAAGAGGTACATCTGTAGCTCTGTTTACCAAACTGAATGAAGTAGGTTTTGTCAATGTTTAGTGTAAGTTTGTTAGTCCTCATCCAGGTAGATATTTTCTGTAATTCGGTGTTTACAGTATTGGCTAGCGTGACTGGGCTCGGGTGAGAGAATACGTATGTAGTGTCATCTGCAAAAAGTGTGGGTTTGAGTAATTGCGAAGCATTTGGTAGGTCATTTATGTATAGGAGAAAGAGAAGAGGGCCAAGGACACTTCCCTGTGGGACACCAACTGCAATTGGTTGAGCGGAAGAGCTTGCCCCATTTGCGTACACATATTGGCTTCTGTTGCTGAGGTATGACTTGAGGTAGTTGAGGGAGTGCCCTCTAATACCATAGGTGACAATTTTACGTGGAGCAAGTCATGGTCAACTGTATCAAAAGCTTTACGTAAGTCAATGAAGATCCCCAGTGGGACTTCTTTTTTCTCTATTGCAGTGTATATATGTTCTAGCATGTGTATAATAGCATCATTAGTATTTTTTTTAGGCCTGAATCCAAATTGGCAGGGTTGAGTATGTTTTGGGAGATAAGGTAGGAGTAGATTCGTTTATGAATTAATTTTTCGAAGATTTTTGAGAGAGGGTTTTAAATTGGACATTGGCCTATAGTTATTCAACTCTGTTTGGTCTCCTCCCTTTTTGGATCGGGGTGACCCTTGCTATTTTGAGAGCTGTAGGGAAGGTGGAGGATTCAATGGATTTGTTAAAGAGTGTTGCAATGATTGGTGATAGTACTTGTGACACTTTTTTGTATATAAAGGGTGGTAAGGTATTTAAATCTCCTGCCTTGTTTTTTAGTGCGTTGATAATAAGGGAGACTTCGTATGGGTTAGTCGGAGCTAGGAACAGAGTGTTCGGGTAGTTGCCAGTGAGGTAGTCATTTGGTGGGGTATCTGAGCTTGGGATTTTTTTGGCAAGGTTTTGTCCTATAGTGGAGAAGAAATCATTGAGTCTGTTTGCTGTTTCTGTTGGTGGGAGGTGGGGTTCATCTGATTTTGCTAATTTTATTTCGCTATTTCGTGATATCTTTTTTGTTCCCAGAATTTCTGATAGGGTCTTCCAGGTCTTTTTTATATCACCTCGTAAGTAGGATAATCTGTTCTCATAATACAGTTTTTTTGCCCTTCTTATCAGGCTGGTTAGGATTGACGAGTAACGTTTTGTTTGGTCTCTGGTTATGTGACCCATTCTGTTTTGTATTTATGGATTTGAGAATGCTGGGTGTTAGCCAGGGACTGTTCAGTCTCTTAGCTGTCATCTGTTTAGTTTTTTTAGGGCAGTGCTTGTTATAGAGGTATTGGGTCTTTTTTAAAAAATTATTAATACATTCGTCAATATCTGTATAGATTTCTAGCTCAGTGTGCCAGTCAATGTTTGTTACTGCTGTTGTGAAGTTATTAATGGCTGCCTCATTGTGAAGTCTGAAGGTGACTTTAGTAGTGTCTTGGGGTATTTTACCAAGAGTTGTTATGAGGAAAGTAGGGTAGTGGTCTGTGGTATTATCTGTAATTATGCCTGATTTTAAAGGGGATATGGTGTTGGTCCAGATGTGGTCAAGTAGGGAAACACTAGTCTCCGTAACTCTTGTAGGTTTTGTTACTGTTGGTAGCAACATGCAGTTACTCATTGTGTTTGTGAATTCAGTAACGTGTGGGTCGTGGTCTTGCAGGAGATTTATACTGAAGTCACCTGAGAGTAGTAAATGATCTTTGTTCATGCGTGCATCAGTTATCATACTTCCTAGGTTTTGACTAAATTGGCTAATGTTTGATTGTGGAACTCTGTAGATGTTTATCACTGTGAGAGGTTTTTGTAGGTATTTGGATTTTAATTTAGCTATTATATATTCCCCATGTTCATCCCTTGTGCAGGTATTAGTGATACATTCTAGTTGGTCTGAGTAGTATATAGCTGTGCCACCCCTTTGTTGGTCTGGCCTACAGTTGTGTATGGCTGTGTAACCAGGAATGGCATAGACATCTGTAGTATCAGGCTTTAGCCAGGTTTCAGTTAGTGTAATGATGGACATATTGGCATGCAAGGAATTTAGTAATGCTAGGAGGTCATCGTAATGCTTGCTTAAAGATCTGATATTATAGTTAAAGATAGTTATGTTGTTGTTGGCTCTGAGAAGTGCCTTTGATTGTTCTGCTGTGTAGTAATTACAGTAACTGTTTGAATCATTTAAGTCATTAAATAAGAGGTTGGTATCAGGATCAATGCTTGTAATCATAAGATTTGTAGTGAATCTATAGTTAAATTAAGTATAAAACAAAGTAAATATTCTAAAGCTAAAAAAATAGCACCTGAATTTTTTTAACAAATGTAAAAATAATGAGCTAAGGTAGTTTTTAAAGCTAAAATAAAGGAGACAATATAAAAGGGACTAAAATAATTTGTGGTGAACAAATAAAGTGATGATCAAATAATGGAGCTTTGGAATATGATAGTACGTAGTACTTTAAATGTAATTCTTTAAAGTTAGAATTATAATATAAAATTATAATATAAAAGGGACTAATATAAGTTGTGGTGAACAATAAAGTGGTAATCAAATAATTGCACTAAGGTCTAATACAATGACTTTTCTGGAGTCTATGTTTTGAGCTAGAATGAGCTATATTACAACTAGATTTAATCTAATAATATAACAATACAAATTAAAAAATAGCACCAGTCTCTCACTAGTAATTGCTATATGGTCTAATATAATGAATTTGGTACTGACTATAGTACAACTGAGTTTAATCTAATAATATAAAAAAGGCACAAGACTCTCAAATGTAATTGCACTAAGGTGTTATATAAGTTGTTTACAAGAATTAGAGTATAACTAGATTTAAATTGACAAGATAAAATATACAAGTTGAGGTAGCAAAAGAATAAAAAAAAGTAGAAAGAAAAAAAAAATATACGAGGTAGTTGGTACTAGTTAGCAAAAGATAGTTAAGGGCCTTGAACAATAATATAATTGAATATACACTAATTGCACACACAATATAGTCACTAAGA